ATCAACAAGCACTCAATAAATGCTTGGTAATTGATTAATTGATTGAGGCACAATGCCTAGAATTTTATGGTATAGAAAACTAAATTTGACATAGCCATATTTGCCTCTTGGAGCTTATAGTCTAGTAAGGAAAGATAAGACCAGTAGCAATGGAAACTAGTCTATGTTGAATAATTCTTTCCTTAATTCCATTTCATTCACTAATTCTTACATTCAACAAATACTTATTAAACTACTTCCATGTTGTATTGCTAAGTAGCCTTATTTATTGCAGCTTAAATTAGTTTAGGTTCAGATTGGTTTAGAAATGACAGTCTCAAGTTTGATATATATATAAGTATATAGTAAAAGTATTATCAAGATAGTAAAATAGGACTAAAGTTAGTAAGAATAGAGTTAGAGTTAGTAAGTCCCAATAGGTAACAACAGCATACTTAAGTCTCAATCGGTATCAAATCTTGTCACCCATCACCGTCAGGGGAACCACCTACATCTGGATTACACAGGCTGGGGAGTCCCTGTTTTTAGGGAAAATCCCGGGCTACACATCTGCACCTCAGGAGAGACTCTGAAGATAAAGTTGGGGCTACCTGCTTTTAGTAGTTCCTTCTAACAAAGAAGGCAGTTTGCCAAAATAAATGTGTAATCTGTGGGTAAGGAGCTGTTCTCAAAATTGTCCTTGAGGGTATTACTGTTCATGAATATCCAGTTCCTGGAGGGGTGGTCAGCCTTGCCTGGGAGCAAACAGCATAAACAGTCCTTCAACATCTAGCTAGGAATAAGATTACCTGGGAAAAGAATAGGGTCAAATTGCAGGCATACTGCACGAGGTCAGAATGTCTTTTTTGATTTTATTCATCACACATGTACAATAAACTGAGGTAGGCTCTAAGGGAGACACAAAATAAATAAGATATTGTCTCTGACCTCAAAGAGTTTACAATCTAATAAAGGTAATAAGACAGGAATTACAAAATAACCACAAAAAGAGGTACAAAGTCCCATGATTTCAGATGAGGGAGAAGTCATTCATTACTGGAATGGAGAAGAGGGAGGACATCTTAGAGGTGAAATAATAACTGTTATAACATCACCTAGTACTCGTTTCTCAGACACTTAAATTCTGGCTTTTGACCTCATCATTCAATAGAAACTGCTTTTTCTAAGGTAACTAATGTTTGTTTTTTAAACAGTATTTTATATTTCCAATTACACATAAAGATAATTTTTAACATTCATTTTTTAAAAATTTTGAGTTCCAAGTTTTCTCCCTCACTTCCTCCCCTCCCCTCCCTAAAATGGTAAGCAATATCATATAGGTTATATATGTGCAATCATATAAAACACATTTCCATATTAGTCATGTTGTAAAAGAAGAAACAGACCAAAAGGGGGTAAAATGTGAAAAAAAAAAAGTAAAAATAGTATGCTTCCATCTGCATTCAGATTTCACCAGTTCTTTCTCTGGATGCGGATATTTTCCATCATGAGCCCTTTGGAATTGTCTTGGATCATTGATTGTATTGCTGAGAAGAGCTAAGTCATTCATTGATGATCATTGTACAATGTTGTTGTTACTGTGTACAATGTTCTCCTGGTTCTGCTCACTTCACTTTGCATCAATTTATGCAAGTCTTTCCAGGTTTTTCTGAAATCATCCTGCTCATCATTTTTTGTAGCACAATAGTATTGCATTTCATTCATATACCACACCTGGTTCAGCCATTCCCCAACTGATGGGCATTTCTTCAACTTCTAATTCTTTGCCACCACAAAAAGAACTGCTATAAATATTTTTGTACATGTAAGTTCTTTTCCCTTTTTTATGATCTCTTTAAGATATAGACCTAGTAGAGGTGTTGCTGAATTGTTGTTGTGTGTATGCACAATTTGATTGCCTTTTGGGCGTGGTACCAAATTGCTCCGCAGAATGGTTAGATCACTTCACAACTCTACCAACATTACATTAGTGTCCCAATTTTCACACATTCAACATTTTATCATTTTCCTTTTCTGTCATACTAGCCAATCTGATAGGTGTAAAATAGTACCTCAGAATTGTTTTAATTTGCATTGTTCTAATTATTAGTGATTTGGAGCATTTTTTTATATGATTATAGACAGATAGATAGCTGAAAACTGCCTGTTCATATCATTTGACCATTTATCAATTGGGGAAACTAATATTTTTATTAATGAATTAATTTATTATTGGTTTTTCTCAGTCTTATTCTTGATCTTTCTGTAGCATTTGACACTCCTGACCACCTTTTCCCATATACCCTCTCCTCACTGTTTCTTTTTTTAAAAATATTTATTTTATTTTATTTTTTGTTATAACATTTGATTTATAAGCTGTTTCCCTTCCTCCCAATCCCACACTAGAGAAGACCAACTTTTGACACAGATACAAAGTTCCATATATCAGTTCTTTTTCTGAAAGTGGATAGCATCTTCCTTCATAAGTCCTTTGTAGTTGATTTGAATATTCATATGACTCAGAAAAGTTTAGTCATTCACATTTAGTCTTTGAACAATATTGTTGCGACTGTATACAATGTTCTCTAGGTTCTGCTCATTTCATTCTTCATTATTTCATGCAAGTTTTTCCATGTTTTCCTAAAATCAACCTGCTCATTATTTCTTACAGCACAGTAATATTTCCCTCACTGGGTTTCTTGACACTCATTTCCTCCTACCTGTATGGACAGGCCAGTGTCCTTTGAAGGATCATTATCTTTTCCGCACCCCTTATCTCTCTATATACTCTCTGTGATGTTAGAAGTTCCCTGGGATATATGGGGTGTTCCAGGAGGACTAGCATCTCTGTTGTGAGGGTTTGTGCAAAGCCCTCTTAGAGCTGCTCATCCACCTTTGGTGTCCACCTTTCCCCCAACTCTCACCTGTGGCTCCAAGAAGCTGTAGCATGCCCAGCAGGCACACACTGATCAAGGAAAAGGGCTAAACAGGATTGAGGGTAACTGAGAAGACTCAAACTTACTAGTGAGTTAGGCAGATGTCTACCCCAAGCATGTGAAAACTTTCCCCATCAGAATGGGCAAATGAGAATAATTTGTTCCAACAGCCATGAAGGCAACTGAAACAGGTGCTGTGGAGTTCTTAGAGCTTGGTCAGACATCAAAGATGCCAAGGTCATCCACTACATCCCAAGCCATTGCCAGTCTTCTTGACTTTTGCCCTGCCACTTTTGCCCTGGAAGAGAGAGTGAGGCTGACAACTTACTACAATTCTGCTTCATTTAAATCCAATTCACCCATGAGTTGAGACGTCACCCCAGATGGCATTGGTCTTTTCGAAAAAGGACAAACAACAACAACAACATGAAGCTCCCATGGGTTCAACTCTCATCTCTATGCAGATGTTCTTAGATCGGTATATCTACTCCTAGTCTTTCTTCTGAACTCTAATTGCTTTTCATGCCCCTAGTCTCTTCCCGCTGCAATACATTCTCTACACAGCTCCCAAAGTGATATTCCTAAAGCACAGGTCTCACCATGTCACTCTCTCACTCCAGAATTTCCAAGTGGCTTCTGGACTTCTTCATGTCTCTAGGATAAAATACAATCTTCTTTGTCTGGCTTTTAGAATCATTCACAGTTGGGCTCCAATCTACCTTACTTTCTAGTACAGTGTGTGTGTGTGTGTGTGTGTGTGTGTGTGTACATATACATATACTCACACATTCCAGGTACAGGGCTTCTTAAACTTTTTCTACTCACAACCCCTTTAGCTTTTTAAACTGGGTCACAACCCCATATGGGTTGCAATCCATAGTTTATCTAGGACAGGGCTGGGGAACCTGTAGCCTCGAAGCCACATGTGGCTCTCTAGGTCCTCAACCCAGGGGATTTGAATTAAGGAGATTTTAATTAAGGAGATTTGGATCTTAGATTCTAGGAGATATATGTCATGACATATGTCATGAATGTGTGTATATACATACACACATGTATATGTATGCATGTACATGTATGTTTTGATGTATATACATGTACACATTTGTGCGTGTAATATATGACATATGAATGTGCAATATAATGATTAATATTATGTTACAATACAATGTAGTATCATATATTGCGTTGTGTATATGCATATTACACATATGTAAAACATATACACATATTTTTACTTGCTGTTTTCACCGTTACAATGTGAATTCTTTGTGAGTAGACATTGTTTCTCTCCTAGTATTTGTATTTTCAGTTCATAGCACAGTGCGTGGTATGCAGTAGGCACTTAATAAATGTTTTTTGCTTGATGTATTGCTATTACTACCTTCCATGATCTGTCTATTCTAGCCAAGCTGGGCCTGCTTAATGCCCCTCATACATGCTTGACATTTCATCTCCATCTCCATATCTTTGCACAGACTACACCATGCCTAAAATGCACTTTCTCCTCATCTCAAGCAGTCCCTCATAGATCCTTTTAAAATGTAATTGAGAAATATTTAACCAAATAAAAAAAAATAAAACATAGATAGCATTACATTTTAAAGTCAATACCATATTTCACCTCATAATCATCACACCCTGGTGTTTTTGGTTTTGTTTTGTTTTGTTCTTCCAGTCCAAAAATTGGTTTATAAACTTTCTTTGCATAATCATTGCATGGCATAATTCTGTTCCTCATGCAATTTAAAAGGTAAACAGAGCAGCAATGTATTCACCAGTGGCATATGGATATGCATTTATCTCTCGAGCATTACAAGCCACAAGCCTAGAATTCTCAGCACACATGCATTGTCAGTATATTTCTGAAAGCTGACTTGTGTGGTTTGTTTAGAGTGCTGCAGTACTAAGGGTATTATCACTCAACCCAATGAAGAGCCATAGACGAAAGGGGAGCTGGCGGATAGGCAAAGCTGCCATGAGTAAGTCACATGATACGGTAAGTCTTGCATCTTCCTGCACTCCCTAAACTGTACAGTTCGTCAGCCAGCAATACATTAAAGTGCAAAACATTTCTTTATGATTATGGGTAAATATAAAAACTATCCTGTGGTCTTCAAGCTGAAAGTGATTGTGTTTGCTAAACAGCATGGAAACAGAGCTGTGGAAAGACAGTTTTCATCGAGTAAAAAGCTGTTGCGAGACTGGCGGAAAGTAAAAGACAAGGAATATCAGCACAATTTTTTTAAAGCTTTACATAGTGGTCGCACCCCACTTTTTTGCAAAAAATTTTGGCATAAAATCTGTGATGATTATGTGTTGAAATTCGGTTTGCAGCTACAGATCAGTGGTCCACCTTTCTATTTGAGTTTGAGACCACTGCTCTAGGCAATTCTCTGAGAAAGTGGCAGAGAAAGTGCCAGCCTGGGAGTTTCCTCTCCTAAGAGTCCCCTGTACCTTTGAAATCATAAATCCATATCCCTATGAGAAGTAAGTAGCCCTTGTCATCTGAGGGAGGAAATAGGCATTTGACGCTGGCTTTCACCTGTGCCTGGAATGTTCTCCCTCCACATCTCCACTCATAACTTTGCTGGCTCCCTTTAAGTCTGTGGGAGGTACTAAGACCCTTGCCAATAAATTGGTGACTCAGACATATTAGCAAAAGGAAAGTTTTCTTTATTAGCTTTCTTGAGAAAGGGCACCCTCCTCCTGCCTAAGATGGCTCTGCTGGGAGAATGCAAGGGTGTGCTCAGCAAAGAAAGATTATATAGACCCTAACCACAACTCCTCCTCCCTAACCCCCTTCCTGTCAGTTCATTGGTGCAAGCCTTGAGGGCACAATCTATTCTGGGAAAGTCTACCCCAGCAACAGAGAGCAAACAAAACAAAAAACAGTTGCCTAGAGACAAGAAAAAAAAGGCAGGAAACAGTTTTAGAAGGGGGGATTATTCTTCCCTGCTACGTGCCTAAAAATAAGTTTGAGAAGGGGGAGGGGTCTGGTAAAGTACAACATTTGTTGAAAAGCATGTTTCTTTACAAGGTCAAAAGATTAACTCTTTGAGGAGGCTTCACTCCTGAGAGATCCTCAGAGATCATCTCTCACAAGTCCCAACTAAAATTCTATCTTCAGGAAGCCTTTCCCAACCCCTCTTGATTCTAATTCCTTGCCTATCTTAGTTATTTTCCTATTTATCCTGTTATAGCTTGTTTGTGTGTATTCGTTTGGTTTTTGTCTCTCCCATTAGACTATATGCTCCTTCAGGGTAGGGATTATCTTTTTGCTTTTTTATTTTCTCCCTAGCCCTGTGCACAGAGCTTGGCACACAGGAGGCACTTAATAAATGTTTATAGACTGATCCATGTTGTCTAAATTAGTAGCTGATACCTCTGTCCTGCAAACAGTACCTGTCAGTCAATCCATAAGCATTTATCAGAGCCTACTCTGTGCTAAGCTGAAGATACTAAGGCAAAAAGCAGTCCCTGCTTATAGGGAGTTCACAATCTAATGGCACCTATGATAAAGCCCAAAGGAGCTAAAAGTACTGAATGACTTGTGGGTTAGTAGCAATGTTTGCCAATGTCTTATGTCATAGACTAGGAGATTAATAATTTATGGTCAGTAGCAGGATGGAAAAATTCCACCATTTTAAGGAGAGGTTGGGATAGTGATTATAAAAGCTATCTTTATTAAGAAACTTCCTTTTATTTCTTGCATTTTTCTTCTTTTGCTTGCTTTCCATTCGTCTTTTAATTCTTCCTCTGCTTTCCTTTTTATTTTCTCCTCTTCTCCCTCTTCCCACCCAGAAATAGCCTAAATCTGGTTTCTCGTAGATTAAATCCTCTTTAATGGGGTTGCCATCTGTTATCCTTCTGGCTCTGAAGTACAAGGTTTCATCCTCTAGCAGGTTTTCATTAAGCTAATCGCTCCCTCTGTTCGCTCTCTTTCTGAACCACTTACAAAATGGTTTTCAGTTGACAAGTCTCACAATTCACCATTATGGCCACATTCTTTTGGTGCTTACTATTATGATGCAGGCTGGCTTTATTGGTAAACATGTGAAAGTTAAAAAATAATAGCATGACTTCCAGAACATGTCCTCTAACTGAAGCCATGAGGGGAAAACGCTGCTCCTGTCTGAATACTGCATCACTTTGCTGCTTTTTCAAATTATTGTTGGCTACCTAATTTATGACTACCTCAGAGCTTTTAAAACTCCACATTACCTGGCCTCAACCTATCTTTGCAGCTTCTTTGGACATTCTCTCCCTCCCACATTCAGCAGTCCTGCCAAACTGACCTTCTCTCTGCCCTTACTCACCATATTCCATGTCCCACTGAGATGCCTTTGTGCAGGAAGCTGCCACTTCCTGGAATGTATTACCTTTACTTCAGAGCCCTTCTTCCCTGAAGATGAAACTTAGGTAACTATACCTTCTATATGAAGCCTTTCCTGATGCCACCAACTGCTATTGCCCCCCTTCCCAAATACCTTGTTATTTGTTTTGCATAAGTATGTTTGAATGTATTGGCTTTATGTTTATGTTATATATACTTCTACATGTACTTGTGGCCTCTCCCATTAATACGTGAGCTCTTTGGGAGTAAGGATTGTTTAATTCTTTGTACTTATATGTATTTATTGTCTGCCCTATTAGAAAATAAACTTGTGAATAGGAATCATTCAATTCTTTGTATCCTTAGTTCCTAGTGCACTGCCTGGCACCCAACAGGTAATTAATAAATATTTCTTGATTGATTGCTTAAACTCACTCTTCTCTACTTCCCAAACCATCAACCTTTTTGTTTGGTCAAAAGGGGGCAGAATCAGTCAATCAACGAGCACTAATTAAGTGCCTGCTATATACCAAGAACTGTACTAGGTGTTAGGAATACAAAAAATTGACTGATTCCTATTCACAAGTTTATTTTCTAACATGGCAGATGAGAAGTACATATATAATTATATGCAAAATAAATATAAATAGAACAAAAGGATAAAATCTCTACCCAGAATCATGGGTGCTTCAGTCTATCAGATAAATTCATGGTAGTGGTCAAGACAAGAAAAGTTGTTAAAAGTATGAAATAACACTGAACTAGGGATACTAAGATTCCAGAGGTAAATCAGAAGACCGTACATTTTTGAAACCAGTGAAGAGGAATAAATAAGTAGATCATGATGGGCCTTTTTCTTCTACCTGAATTCCAAGGAGACAAAAGAAAACTAAAACTAAAAGGAAAAGAAAAGGCTTAAGTGGATGTGCAATGTAGCTCTGATTATAGAATGAAAAGCTTTGTTCTTCTTAGAGAAATTTCAAGAATAAACCAGGGAGGAATCAAGAAAATACATATTGTTGCTGTTGGCTTTTTGCTTTTCAGCAAATTCAGGAGGTGTGTGTGTGTATGTGTGGGTGTGGGTGTGGGTGTGTGCACGTTGGAGCTGCAGAGAAAGTCTACAAATAAACAAGACTCACTTCCCTGGAGAAAACCTATGAAAGCACACACCTCTCCAGAGCATCGGTGATGGAGACACAGGCTAACACAGAGACACAGATCAACAAAGTCAGACACAGAGACACACTCTAGGACTTAGAAGGAGGTCAACACAACCATGTGAGAGATAATACTGTTGCTCCTCAGGGTAGTGGGAGGAGAGATATAAAGGGAAAGCAGTTTTTTACAAAGCAAAGAGTCAGGATGTGGAGAAAGGCCCTTTGCAAAAGGTACTGAATATACAAAACTTCACATAACAGGTGCAGAAAATGTCAGTAACTAGCATCTATGTGTTGTCAAACATGTACCATATTCTCTCTTTTGAATTTTCTTTTGTTCCCTGGAAATTATGAAAAGGAAAGAGAATTCTTCTTTTCTTCCTGTCTCCTTTCTCCCCAACCCCTCCTCTCAACCTCTCCATCTAAAGTCTGACTTTTTTTTTTTTTTTTTTTTTGTAAACATGCATTAGGGCAAAGTAGTTGCTCAGGTAAGCTTTAAAAGTCATGGTATTGGGGCAGCTAGGTGGAGCAGTGAATAGAGCTCTGGCCTTGGAGTCAGGAGGATCTGAGTTCAAATCCAGCCTCAGATACTTAACACCAGCTGCGTGACCCTGGGTAAGTCACTCAACCCCGATCACCTAGCCAAAAAGCAAAAAAAAAAAAAAAAAAAAAAAAAAAAGTCATGGTGTTGACTTCAAGGCAATAATAGTACATAGAGTAGAGCTTCCTTCTGCACTGATTTAATATGAAATGTTGGTCCATCTGCACAGAAGGTAACAGATTACATGTTCTCCATAAGATATAATATGGGGGATATGAAATCTTTTTGTTGAATCTCAGCCTTATCCTACATTCATTCCTTTGGGAGCTTTGTGTCAAAGGCAACCCATATGTTGACCTCTGTTTTTGGCCCTATACAACATGCAAAAGCCATGTCCAGACCAGCGTTTATGAACAAATCCTTTCTACATAAGATGTAGAGTTGCCTTTTTTAGAAACTTTAGAGTCCTAGAAATTCCCTTAAGGAGAAATATTGGAGTCTTCTTTTTAGATAAGCACCATGGCAGAGGGGAAAAAGAAATGAATTTGCCATCAGAGGAGGGTTAAAGTCCAGGAGCTATACAATCTTGGACAAATCAGTACCTGTCTTTACTTTAATTTCCTCATCTATAGAATAGGAATTTTAATTCTTACACTACCTACCTCATAGGGTTGTTTTGAGGATCAATTAATCAACAAGACCTTATTAAAAACCTACTCTATGCCAGGCTATGTGCTAAGTGCTGGGGATACAAAGACAAAAATAGAACATTCCCTGCCCTCAAGGAGCTTATATTCTGTCAGAGAAGATGACATATTTATTAGTGGATGCAAAATAAATACCAAGTAGTTTGGGGAGGGAGGACACTAGAGGCTGAAGGGATCAAAAAAGAAATCAAATAGAAAGTAAGGCTTGAGCTCAGTCTTGAAGGAAGTAAGGGACTGTACCAGGGTGCAGAAAACTGAGAAGGAGTGTCACATGGGAGAAATAGAAAGGTCAATTCAGCTGGACAGTGGTGGGGGTGAAGGGAAGAAACATGATGAGGTTAGAAAGGTAGTGTAGGGCCAGGTTATAAAGGTCTTTAATAGTCAAACAGAGGAGTTTGTATTTCATCCTATAAGGCAGGAGAGAGTCATTAGAGTTTACTGAGAGACACAGTGTGATCTGCACTTCAGAAAAA